CTGAGAACTACAAACATGGCGTCTGATCACACACCTGAGAACTACAAACATGGCATCTGTTTCATCACCTGAGAACTACAAACATGGCGTCTGATCACACACATGAGAACTACAAACATGGCGTCTGTTTCCTCACCTGAGAACTACAAACATGGCGAGGAAGCAGGCCAGGGGGTTTGCGATGTTGCCCAAAACCACAGAGAGGTGAAAGGTCATGGAGCCGTAGGGCAGACAGGAGAAGCTCTGCACCGATGGAAGCACGCCGTTGGTCAGGGCGTTGGAGACGGCGAGCAGAATCAGCAGGTAAATGTTTCGTGACGTCCAGAAGGCCGGAGCAGGCGGCTGCTCTTCCACCTTCACCTCCTCCTCAGACACCGGCGCTCCTCCGTTGTASAGCTTGTGCGTCTCCTCTCCGTTCTTGGTCGCAGCGACGCCGTCCAGCTCCTTGGGCGGGCTGTCCTGCTGCGGGTCGGTCCGTCTGCTGGTCAGAGCCATGAAGCTTAGAGCTGAGACCAGCAGCATRACGAACATGAACCAGAAGAAGTTCTGAGCAGGGAAGTTCTCCTGCAGACGCTCGGGCTTCACCGTCCCGTTCACCGTCCTGCACTCCAGCTGGCTGACCCCCTGARCCAGCGCCACCACGCAGGGGAACAGGGCGCTGAGGCCCTGCCCGATGAAGAAGGTCCGGATGTACTGAGAGGGGTACCGGAACATGAAGGGCAGGAAGGTGACGGTGGACGTACAGCAGACCGAGGCCAGGACGAAGGTCAGGACCAGGAAGGGCACGGACCGGTCCACTCCTGCCACCGTSACGGTGTGGGACCAGAACATGGCCAGCAGGGCGGACGCCAGTACCGCCAGCACCTGGATGGAGTGGATCAGGACTCGCTCGTTCAAACGACCCGGAGCGCAGTGGTGGGTCAGCGTGACCGCCATCGGACCCAGGTTCCCCAGAGCTATGAGGACGGACAGGTAGGCAGGAAGGTTCCACTCTGAAACCACAGAAGAAGAACCGAGAGCTGAGGATCTGTTACAGCTAAAAGAAGCTAAACGCTAACCGAAACTTATGAGCCAAAACATTAGCTAAAAGAAGCTAAACGCTAACTGAAACTTAAGAGCCAAAACATTAGCTAAAATAAGCTAAATGCTAACTGAAACTTATGAGCCAAAACATTAGCTAAAAGCTTTAAGCTAACAGGAGCAAAACACTTACTGGAACTTGAGGCAAAAATATTAGCTAAAAGCTATAAGTGGCTAATAGTAGCTAAAATCTGCATGAAAATGTTAGCACATTTTCTGATTGTTTCATTAAACTCTGACCACTAGTTCATGAGATATTTTACTAACAGGCATGGTTGATAYATTATCACTGGTGGAGTTTGATAAATAAGACTAAAACAAGTTTAACCCTCCTGCTGCCTTTGACCCAATGACAGCAGGAGGGTTAACAGCAAAGACATGGAGTTTTATTTTATAAAGTTTTACTTGCTTCTCTCTACTTTACCTGTAAAAACAATTAATTTTTTCCACTGATGCTGTAATAAAACTTGGTCTGATAAATGAACTGCAGGTTTAAATGTTTATGACAACAATAAAACAGCTGSTTATGTTTACACCTCATATTTTATGAATTTAGGTTTTCAAAATAAAGGTCTACATTAGTTATTAGACCAAGATAAATACAGAAAATTCTCTAAAAACCATCAAATTAGAGMTAATTCACTGCTGATGCAGAAATAAAGATTTTAAAAGAATTTGACAGAAAAGGTCATTAAATGTAATTTTAAATCACTGAAAGTGTCTAAAAACTTTGTTTTCTTGTAAACCCTAGATATGAATGTTAAAATAAAGCAGATAAAAAGTTAACATAAAGAAAAAGAAAGATAAAATAAATAAATAAAAAGTGTTTTTAGTCTGCGGGAAGACGAAGCTGACCTTCGGGAAGCTCCCGGACCACCACCGGCAGCTCGACCCACAGACTGTTGACAGAAACCCACGAACCCATGGCGAACAGGGCCGTGAGCCCGTGGGTCACCGCGGTACCGCTCCACCAGCTGCCGGACATGGTTCCGCTCAGTTCGACCGGAAAATCTGTCAGATATCCGCACTTATTTTATTAACCTTTTAAGAAAAGCGCCGACAGAAAGCGTCTCTTCCGGTGCTGCCTGTYAGCAATGGAGGACAAGCCCCGCCCCTTTAGATGCGTTCAAGACTCCTCGGATTTTAAATCATCACCACTTAAAACCGTAGATTCAAACATTTCTCTATTTTAAATAAAACATATAAACAGAAAACTCTACAAACAAAATGTTAATATTGTTATTGCGATTTTAAAGGTGTTTGACAAACATTCACTGCAGTCCACAGTTGATCAGTTCACGTGTTTTTATATTTATTCTGATTTCCTGCTTTCAGTGAAGGCTGCATCCGCACCAATCAGGCTGCAGAGCGCGGGTTGCCAGATAAACTAAATTTATTGTACTGCTACAACGGATTTGTGATCTACAGTATATACAGGTGCTGGTCATAAAATTAGAATATCATGAAAAAGTAGATTTATTTCAGTAATTCCATTTAAAAAGTGAAACTTGTATATTATATTCATACATTACATACAACCTCATATATTTCAAATG